ACCCTTAAGGCTGTCTGCGTTTCGCGACATTTTCATTAGCGCTCTCTCTCCTTATCAGCGAGGAAGTTATAAGTACTGGTGAGTTTTCAACAGACCGCGCCCATCTATCGGCTGCAAACTGCATCTGATAAATTACAGTCTTTAGTACTGGGTGTGAACTAAATCTAATTTCCACTTATTTTCTATTGAATCCCAACAAAACAGCCTGGTTTTTCACTTTAGAAGTATCATTGTTAAGTTTTAGTTACTCTCTGAACACAAGTAAAAAAAAAAGTTTTCCTCCTCAAAATTTCCTAAAAAATTGGTGTAGATATTCAATCTTAGTGGTGGTACTAGGAAACACTTGCACTCCACATGCGATTTTACGAGACTTCTCGTCATAAAGTGCATATTTCCAGCTCGTACCCCTTATTCATGATACATATATGATTCCTCTTGTGTACATACTGGAACCAGCAAATATTTAAATTGCCCCTACAATAAAATAAAAATTTTTAAGTAATGTTAGAGGTATAAAATAAGAAATGATTGCCTCCGACACTGAGGTGGATAGTATAAATTAATAATTTGGAATAAAGCACTGATTTACACAAAAAAAGCAGGCCTAAATTAATTAATTGTTTTGCCCAAAAAGAAGCAAAGCAGAACCCGTACTAGCTTACTTGAAATAAAGAAAGCGCTGGAAAGAACATTAATTTACGCCAAAATAAAAATAAACAACAAAAAAAATTGAAGACAGAAAAACACAAAGTACTGATTTATTCCAAAAGAACTAAAAAACGATACCGAATTAAATTGCAGGAAATCGGTGCAATAGCTGCTCTGAAGGAAGTAGCGTCAAGTCCAGATGAAGTAGCAGCGAAATTCGCCAGCGAAGCGCTTACGGTAATTGGTGAGGAGGTACCATACAAGCTTACGCAGCAAGTTCCGTGTTGGACAATTGCTGATGTGCAGTACTGGGTCAAAAAGGTTCGAGTTCATCTCTCATTTGAATTTTGACCTTTCTTTACTCTTTGATAATTCAGTGCGTTGTTGCTTCGCTGTTGATGCAGCTGGCAGTTTTTCCATTCCTCAACGCTGCTGAATTTGTTGGATCCACAATATTCAGTGGATGCTTACATATTGTTGATATCCCTTTCGGCAATTTTTTAACTTTGTATGGGTACCATTGAATAATCCAATTTATCCATTTGTTGTTTCCGGTCCCCACTACCTAACCATCCCAACTTCTTTTTCCTCACACTCTGCCTTGATAATGTTGCGTGAGTCGCAGAATTTTCGTTACTTTTGTATTTTCTTACTGTCGGTGCAGTGGGCAGTCATTGATCAAATTCAGTTTTTAATTACTTTAATTCACAATTCAGTTTTTAATTACTCAACTTTATTAACTTCTTCAACCATAAATATCATCACTTCTCCTATATAAATGGTAAAATTCGTGTGCGAAGAAATAAAGTTTACTCCTACTTTACCAGCACTTAAAACGCTTTTTTAAGATGACCAGTATTCTTTTCCATGCATTCTATCATTGGTGCAGAAGTACCTTATAGTTTTCCGCTTCTCATGCTTCTCTGTTTTTTGTTTCCGGCACATCATTTTCTTATTTTTTTCGGAAACCAGTTTTTCATTAAAGAAAAAATCACGTAGGTGCCAGTCAACTCGGCCTGGTTGCACTTGGACGCATGGGTCTATCCAAAAATCACCGGTAGCTGACTAGTGCACCGATTGTCCAAGTGGTCTTGTTAATCTTGGAAAGTAGATAACCTTACTCTATTCCACAGTCTTTTAACTTCGTCTTCATCTCAGTTAGCGTTTTCAGAACAGGCGCAAAAATTGTCAAGTTTGCAGCTGGAAAGTAATCCGCGAATTGCAGTTGATCAAATTGCCTGAATTTTAAATACGTAGCAATAAGAATTAGAGGAAGCACTTTTCAGAAATTTACCAATTTCTGATAAACAATTTCAACCAATACCAGTTTCAAAAATTAATCAGTTCCAAAAATCAATCAAAAATTAAGCAATATTATTTTGAATGCGCATTCTACTAGCTTATATCAAGGAATTTTAATACACCCCTGAAATACGCATGGCTTATGGTTCAAACGGCACCAGCAAGGCGTTGCTGCACAGTTAAGAGCTTCGCTGTTATCAATAGTCCCGTGTACTTGCAAAACATTTCAGTTGTAAAAGTGCAATTATAAAAAAAAAAATTGGAAAAACTGACAAAAAATAAAATTTATGCGTCAAGTTCCGAAATTCATTAAATATTTGTTTATTCAGATTGGCTTCGAGCCGTACGCGGAAGCATTTGCAAAGCATATGGTTGACGGTGACTTACTGCTTCTGCTCACCGAGAAAGAGCTCGAGCAAGACTTGCAAATGACTTCAGCCCTCTTGCGAAAACGCTTCATCCGCGAGCTTGAAAGTCTAAAAGTAAGTTCGTTTAGAAACTTGATCAGGAAATTTCTCTCTCCAATTAATCCTCGCTAATAATGCTGACAAAAGTAATTTAGTAATAATCGTGTGTTTAAAATTATGCTACCTCTAATAATTAGTAAATAATTCACCTAAAATTTTTGAGCCTTAAGTTAACGATTCATAGTTCGCATTTAAGTTTAGTTTTTCGGCTTATTTGCAGTTATTTACTTTAAATTTTTGGACTCGGGTTGTAATTTATTTGATTTCTAATTTTAACACATTTGTTTTTAACTCTTTTATAAAGATTTCCAGTAAATTGGAAATGAGTCTTACAGTTCTTTAAAAATGTATAAAAATCGAAATATAAGCCTAATAAAATCGCCCTTTCCGTTCTTTTGCCCATAGTGCAGCACTTTCTGTTTCTCTCCCTTCACCCATCTAGAAGACTTGACTTTCTAGAAAAATCTTTCAGACCAGTCGTGTACTGTCTTTCTTTCTGTCAATGCAAAATCTAGCTGACTCTAATTTGCAGATAGCCGCTGATTATGCAAGTGTAGACGAGAGTCAGCTGGACCAATTTCTGATGTCGTTGAGCCCCGAATTGTCAGTTTACACGTACCAAATGCTTGGAATGGGCCTTAATCGTAGCCTTTTGCCTTCGCTCACCGATGAAATGATGAAGACCGTGTGCGGCATCCATAATCCAATTCATAGGCTCAAATTGCGACAGGCACTGCAAGGTATGAGTTTCTATTTTTAGCTATTCTTAACTATGAAATCTCTTGTCACCGATTCTTACTAGGCGAGGCTCCTTGGATCTACAG